AACTGTTCTTGGATGGTTGGGAGAAGTTGCTCTCGGAGGATGTGTTGGTACCATTCTTTATTCATGGCTGTGTTCTTCGGCAAAATTGTGAGTGAGCCCACTCCCTTGGCTGAGAAGCAACCCCACACAATAATGGTCTCAGGATGCTTTACTGTTGGCATGACACAGGACTGATGGTAGCGCTCACCTTGTCTTCTCCGGACAAGCTTTTTTCTGGATGCCCCAAACAATCGGAAAGGGGATTCATCAGAGAAAATGACTTTACCCCAGTCCTCAGCAGTCCAATCCCTGTACCTTTTGCAGAATATCAGTCTGTCCCTGATGTTTTTCCTGGAGAGAAGTGGCTTCCTCACTGCCCTTCTTGACACCAGGCCATCCTCCAAAAGTCTTCGCCTCACTGTGCGTGCAGATGCACTCACACCTGCCTGCTGCCATTCCTGAGCAAGCTCTGCACTGGTGGTGCCCCGAACCCGCAGCTGAATCAACTTTAGGAGACGGTTCTGGCGCTTGCTGGACTTTCTTGTGCGCCCTGATGCCTTCTTCACAACAATTGAACCTCTCTCCTTGAAGTTCTTGATGATCTGATAAATGGTTGATTTAGGTGCAATCTTACTAGCAGCAATATCCTTGCCTGTGAAGCCCTTTTTGTGCAAATCAATGATGACGGCACGTGTTTCCTTGCAGGTAACCATGGTTAACAGAGGAAGAACAATGATTTCAAGCACCACCCTCCTTTTTAAAGCTTCCAGTCTGTTATTCTAACTCATTCAGCATGAGAGAGTGATCTCCAGCCTTGCCCTCGTCAACACTCTCACCTGTGTTAACGAGAGAATCACTGACATGATGTCAGCTGGTCCTTTTGTGGCAGGGCTGAAATGCAGTGGAAATGTTTTGGGGGGATTAAGTTCATTTTCATGGCAAAGCGGGACTTTGCAATTAATTGCAATTCATCTGATCACTCTTCATAACATTCTGGAGTATATGCACATTTCCATCATAAAAACTGAGGCAGCAGACTTTATGAAAATTAATATTTGTGTCATTCTCAAAACTTTTGACCACGACTGTACAATGTTCAGACATATGCTGTATTTAGGCTACAGTTTGAGAGTGTGTGATATGGGGGTTGGAGACATGTTTATTTCGACATTACAAAGAAATACTTTTATAAACAATGGCAACACTGCCATGTTACACTGAGCCTTACTGTTGGAAAACCACATCAGTGTCCCCTGACTCCACTCCTCGACTTTCGTCTGCAGTCGGTTGCTTCAGCCTTACCACTCAAACAAGCCCATAACCTCAGTGATTGAGACGCAAAAGTAAAAAAAAAAACGTTTTAGAGCCAATTAACCTCACTAGATGGGTCTGCCCTGGAATTTGTCAGTTCATACAAATCCCTGGGTATCTGGCTGGACACGGCACTATAATTCCACACACACCAATAATCTTCAAGCAAAGGTCAAATTCAGAATAGACTTTCTCTTCCGGAACAAATCTTCATTCACACACTTCTAAACACACCCTGGTCTAAATGACATGCTGGATTATGGGGATGTCATCTTCAGGATGGCCCCAAAGTCTGCCCTCAATAAACTGGACGTACTTTACCACTCTGCCATACGCTTTGTCACTAGTGCCCCATTCCAAACCTGAAAAATATGGGTAGGTTGTAGAATCAAAGGACCATTAAAATAAGGGGGAAAAACTTAAGTGCTGGTTTTAGGCCGGTAGTAACCACTACAGACTGCCGGGTTAGAACAACGAGGAGCCACTAGGTGATCAGGGAACTGAGGGCTAAGATGCTCTGGGCCTACTGGAGCTATAGGGGCATAGACTGAGAACCTAGTAGGGAACAGGGTGAGGTGTCTCCTATGACTGGACACTGGACACCTCGATCAGGAGAGTCCGCCACTGGAATATCAGGAGGGTCCCCCACAGGGACGTTCAGAAGGGCTAGCATGAACTCCAAGCCTGGGATAGGCAGGTCCCACCAAGCAGGGGCTGACAGGGCCTGGACAGCAGACATGGACCGAGCCACTGCAGCAGAGACTGGAGGAGGCTCCCAGGGAGGAGCAAGGAAATGTATTTGGACAGCAGCAGGCTGAACGTCACAGGTGGGACTAGGCGGATCCCACCAGACAGGGACCAGAGAGGTCTGAGTGGCAGGGCTCCCGTATTATGGACCAACTGACATTGTGAAGTGTCGGCTGGAGTAGGAGTAGGGTTCTCCCTCAAGGTGAGCTCTGGCAGCTCTTCCAATCCTGGAGAAGGCACTGGAACCACCGTGAGGGACATCACAGCGGGAGTCAGCTGGAGAACAGTTGTATGGTACACCCCCAGAGTGAGGTCAGGTAGCTCCTCTGCCTCTGGAGAAGGATGTAGGTCTTCCTGCTCACGAACAGGCAGGGAGGAGAGAATTGATCTTGGGTCAAGAACAGGGGTCGGCAGAACCTCTTTCACTGGAGATGGTGATGGAAAGCTGTTGCACCGCTGTGAGGGAATCAATCTCGTCATTCTGGATGTGTAAACGCAGTGAGTCCTCTCCGGTTGTCACTAGCGGTCCACGCTCAGGTTGACGCTGATCCCGGTGATCTCTGGTCGAGATTTGACGCTGATCTTGACGATCTCTGGTTGAGGTTAGCCTGAGGTGTGAACCCGGTGAATTAGCCACCGATAAAAAGGCTGAGGCTCTGTCCTCTATTCTGCTGGTCAGCCTGGGTGGTGACTTGGACCGGTGATGAGTCGTTGAAGGGGACTGCAGTATATCCCGTCTCAAGTGCTCAAGAAAACCCTCTAGCTGTTCTCCCTAGTAGGAGTGGTGGGTTGTTATGTGTGGTGGTCTGTACCTTGACTCGTAGCCATCGCCGTAATTATCAAGATATTGTGACAGGTGAACTGGTCGGCGCAGACAGACCACATCTTGTGGAGGATCTTGTCTGTTAACTGCCATCCTTGGGTTATAGCAGTTACTGGATTCGGCACAAAAGACCATGAACAATATGGGTAGGTTGTAGAATCTAAGGACCATTCAAATAGGAGAAAAAACGTAGGTGCTGGTTTTAGGCCGGTAGTAACCACTACTGTCGGGTTAGAACAACGAGGAGGCAGTATTCCAGTTTAAGTGGTTGTAATGGACAGAAAGGCACGTTTCTGACATCTGCCCTGTCCGTGCTGGGGTCTTGCACTGAATGTCCCAGGAATCTAGTCTGTTAATAGGCTAACATAATAATAATTGGCGTGACCTTGACCAATAAGAACTCAAATAAGTTTAGGACCTTCTGAATGGGGGCTGAGCTGCCTGACAAAAAAACACCAGTAGAATGTGCTAGAACAGCTTACTGAAGCTGGCCGTTTTAACAAAACCCATCACTGTGACATATTAATCCCTACAGGCTCACATTCATATACAAATCCCTCCTCGGCAAGACCTTTATCTCAGCTCACTACTAAGACTCCCCACCACCAACAGCAACCTGAGATCCAGCAATTACATAAACCTGGCAATCCTCAAGTCACTCAGTATCTTTGGTGAAACAGATTTTCAATTCTCCGCTGCTAGAGACTGGACCATCCTTCAAAAAACACTGAAACTAAGCTCTTTTGTGTCCATTGGTACTTTAAAAAACACTAACCCTAACTGTCTGAGAATTTAAAGGTGCACTATGCAGAAATCGCTCTGCCATTTCCTGGTTGCTAAAATTCTAATAGTTTGCCTAATTTCAGTTAATGTGACAAAACAACCAAGTATAGTGTAGAGAATCATTGTACCATCTAAACCGCTGTGAAATATATTTTCCAAAACCAAAAATATTGCATTTTCAGCTGTTTGAAACTGGTGTACAAAACCAAAAGTAAAAGACACAAACATGAAACTTAAGCACATGAAGCATAGAAATAGCCACATAGAACATAAAAAATAAAAACAATACATCTTGATTAGGTAAGTATTCAACCCCCTGAGTCAATACATGTTAGAATGACCTTTGGCAGCGATTACAGCTGTGAGTCTTTCTGGATAAGTCTCTAAGAGCTTTGCACACCTGGATTGTACAAAATGTGCACATTATTATTAGATGAAATTCTACAAGCTCTGTCAAGTTGGTTGTTGATCATTGCTCCCTCCCCTCAGACTGACCATCAGATGCAGGCCATCAGTCCAGTAAAATAAGAACAGCAAATTACTATGCTCTCTGTGCTTCACAAGTAATACAACAAATTATCTATTACCAGTGTGATCATATACCTACAATTTTGAAATATAATTTCAAAATGGTCTGAGAAGAACAACGTTGGCAGGGCAAGTGTATGAAAATGTATGCACTCACTAACTGTAAGTCGCTCTGGATAAGAGCGTCTGCTAAATGAATAAAAATAAAAATAAATAATAAATAATAAAACAACATCTCCACTGCTTCTTAGACTTGTTTTCAATTTGAATGACATATCTATAATTCACATTTCTATGTGAATTTGGTTGGGTCGCCCAAAAAGTTACATATTGCAGCTTTAACTTATAACTGCATGTGTTTCCCCCCTGCCTCTTAAATGCTGCCTATTGCTGAATGTTTTACTGACTGTGCATTATGTGTATTTTTACTGTTGTTTGTATGATATTGTGTGTGTTTGTATGATATTTGTGTGTTATATGTGCTGACACGTCGTCATTGTAAATAATAATTTGTTCTTAATTGACTTACCTGTATAAATAAAGGTCAAATAAATAAATGTTGTCTGGCATAATTGCAGAAATCAGTGGCTTTTAGGCCTAAACCACATAATCTTTTTGATTTATTGGCCATCAAATAGACCACAATTTAGATAATCCATGGGTTAGATTAATTTATACAATGTGTACTCTTATTATTATTATTATTATTATTATTATTATTATTATCTCATATCCTGTCATAAATAAAGTAATGTTTGACCTTATCAACATGGACACCCTCATCTGACACGTTTCTACGTAATTCATAAAATACGTAATATCCGGCTAATGGGGTGAGTTTTGTTTCCCCGGATCCGCCATTTCATTTTTTGAAGTTACTTGTGACAAGTTACAAGATTTGATTCAAAATGGTATTGTTTTACAACTGGGTTGGGTCAGTTATAATCGACATATCATTTTAATCTGGCGATCAGACACGTTTTGGTGGAGGACCAGTTTGTGGATTTTGTGGAATTGATGGGAATAGGCAAGTTGCGGATTTCGCCTATTTTCCAAACGTGTTCTACGCGCTAAAGTTTTTGTATGAGTTGAATGCTGGTTGTGGATAAGGGGAGGCAAAGGGAAGGCCCGTGAAGCCTCGGCTTTGGAGTGGGAGTCATGGCTGGACATTTTGACGCAGAGGACCGTGCAAGTTGGTACTGGGGAAGATTAAGTAGACAGGAGGCAGTTTCACTTTTACAAGGACAGAGACACGGAGTGTTTTTGGTGAGAGACTCTATTACCAGCCCTGGCGACTACGTGCTGTCCATTTCAGAGAATTCCAAAGTCTCTCATTACATAATCAACAGCATCAGCAACAACCGGCAGTCTGGCTCAGGTAAGCGAGACATGGTTTGGGGCTGCAGAATAAAGGAGCCACCAGGGTATCCGTTCGTGTATGAATTCAATGTAACAGGATGATAAAAGATTCATCCAACAAGCCACTCCACGTTTCTTTGGAAAATAATTTAAGATTAACTTCCTACAAGTGAATCAACCAAACAGTGACATTTGGATTAACCAGACATCAAATATGTAGTCCACTGCCTTTCAATGGGCCAGAAATGTGGTCATTCACATGCTAATGTAAATCAACCAAACAGTGACATTTGGATTAACCAGACATCAAATATGTAGTCCACTGCCTTTCAATGGGCCAGAAATGTGGTCATTCACATGCTAATTATTGGCCAGTGAAATGGTTTCTGCTGTTCTTTCCTTCTTTTCTACTCATCCCTCTTTTCCCACCCTCCTCTCCCAGGCCTGGCACCTCCACGGTTCCGCATAGGGGACCAGGAGTTTGACGCCCTCCATTCCCTGCTGGAGTTTTACAAGATCCACTACCTGGACACCACCACTCTGATAGAGCCCTTCAACAAGGCCAAACACCCTTCATTCGTCAGCGTCAACACAGCTGCCGGAGGCCCGCCGCAGCGGCTGGAAGGCGAGTTTGTCCGTGCCCTCTTCGATTTCCCAGGCAACGACGATGAAGACCTGCCTTTCAGAAAGGGCGACATCCTACGGGTTCGGGAGAAGCCTGAGGAGCAGTGGTGGAAAGCCCAGAATTTAGAGGGGCGTGCCGGGATGATCCCTGTGCCCTACGTGGAGAAGTACCGACCGGCCTCTCCCACCTCAGGGGGCCCAACAGGGGGTCCCGGTGGGGTGGGCTCGGTAGACGGCTCCAGTGTTCAGGGCCCTCCTCTGCTTGACCCGAGCCAGTATGCCCAGCCCACACCTCTGCCCAACCTGCAGAACGGACCCGTCTTTGCCAGGGCCATCCAGAAGAGGGTGCCCAACGCCTACGACAAGACCGCCCTTGCCTTAGAGGTACCTACCTAGCTGTGCTCTCTTGTTCTGTCATCTCCTCTTTCCCTTTATTCATCATCCCTCTCTCAGATTATTTGATCCTCCTCATGTTGTCATGGCTTTTCCTTTGTCCACAGCCTTCAGTGCAATG